AAAATCGAAAGTTCTAAACTTTGACGCGAAAAGGTTCTATCAATCCAATTGACAACGTCTTTTAATCATGCATTTTTCTGTATAGCGAAAACGTTCTTTGCAAATTCTAGGAGCTAACTTGAGTGAACATTTAAGTCACATTTTATTTATCTCGAATACGAAAAAAAAAATTTACTTTTCATCCTAATGATGATCTACACGCGTATTACGAATTAGAATATTAAAGAACTCTTTAAAAAAAATGGGTATAGATACATAAAGCCCAAAAAAGATGACGAAATAACAATTTAACTCTCTATTTTCTCGAGTACAGTTAAAGCTTTAAATGAAACGCTTGTGGCAATTGATTGCACCATCGGGTTTTTTGACGTATTTTATGATGGTCTTCTTGTGGGGTCTCTTGTGGCGGTGTGTTTTTGGTGCAGGGTTTGATTCTGAACTTGGGTCACTTTCACCACCTTTGGCGGGTTTGGTATCGGAACCAAGTGTATTACCAAAGTCTTGGGTCCAGAAACCACCTCCGCAGGCGACACCAAGATGTCTGAAAGAAGGGTTTAGGATGTTTGCACGATGTCCAGGGGAGTTCATCCAACTGTTGTGAGAGAAATGGTAAGTGGTCATAGTAATGAGAACAGAAAGATGAGAAAAAACAATAATGATCACTTACGCATTCATGACTCCTTCGTTGTCACCATCATCGAATCCTTGGGCAACATTTTCACCGGCGCAGGAGAAATCATATCCATACTTATGGAATCTGGTGCCGAGATCACCTTCGGAATCGTCGTGGGTGAGAAGATTGTGACTGATGCAGAATTGGTTGTGGTGTGCGGCGACGGTCATCAAACGACTATGGACGAAAATAAATAAGGTTAATGGGTTTACAAAATGGAAATGTGTGGCAGATGTCAGTACCAAGTAATACGACGAACAAATACTCACTCATCCAAGACCACAGGAGGGCTACCGACTTTAGCGCGTTCTTTGTTTACCAAACTGCAGATAACATTGGGGTCAGCGTCCACCAAGAGAAAAGAAGAAGACAAGAGGAGAGCGAAGAATAAGCCGAGAGACTTAAATGAAACCATTTTGTTGAGAAATTGAAATGTCGAAATGCTACTTTTGAAAATTTCTAAATGCTATCAAAGCTCAGTTGTGCAGTGAATGCAATGAATAAAATTAAACAGTGGTAAAGAAATCTAATTCTATGACCAAAACACTCGAGTAAATTTTCGAGAGTAATTGAGATGTTAAAAGAGAGGTGTGCGGTGAGTTTGCACGAGGTAGTCTCTCAAAGACCAGAAGAAGAAAAGGAGGAAGGTGATGGAGTTAATTTTGCGGGGAATTTGAAAGAATGAATGAGGTTCTTCTTCGGGCTTTAAATATTGAAGGATCTGAAACGAAGAAGCAAGACCATGCATCGACAGGGCGTATATATCTGTTTTTTTCTTTACACACAAATTAGTAATACGTAATACAGTGTTATATTAGCTGTATTACTTGTGATCATATTTTAAATTACATATTTGCTACGAGATATATGCGACACGGTCGCAGGATAACACAAATGTAGAACAACGGACATAATTATCTCATTCACCCGAATTAGTGAATTACAATATGTGATGGGCAACACAGAGAGTGCATGTAATTTCGATGCAGCTGGAACCATTCACCTACTTTAAGATAAAGGATCTACTTGAGTAAGTGATTTTCTCCTGGCAACCATGATATTTAGCGATTCCCAACTTTCGTACAGTATTTCTGCGTCAAGCAGAATCTGTATGCACTTGCACCCAGAGTTTCAGAGAACAGGATCAATCAATCGAGTACCTTAATGGATATCCTTTTGTTTATTTCTCTGATAAACGCCGTTGTTTGATAATCGCGGGTGAGAAAGAATTCGGTGGACAATAAGTCGTTGAAAAGGAATTATCGCATGCAGGATTCATAAGAAAATTCAATTCAGAATCTCGAAGAAATTTGAGACAATTGAGGGGGTCATTAAGCGTAATTAATTTAAGAATCAGCGAGCAGACCAATGAGAGTACAGATAAGCCACGCAAAATTTCGATGTTAAAATTACACTCAAAACCTTTAGAGGTTAGCGTATGTACAAATTTTGTTACTTTATTTGGTTAATTATGCATTCATAAATGTAACCGCTTCTTTGTTTGGATGCTAACAAGGTATAATGTGTACTTAATAAATTGAGCATTTAAAACGTAATTGTCTTGTGGATAGATGCCCTGTGAATAATCTCACCGAGCGCATTGAAAACATTTCCAAAATCAACAGATTCCTTTTTTGGAATACCACTGAAAATACATTTATTATCTGCCAAAAGGAAAGAAGAACAAAACGTTAATACTTTGGTGTAACCATAGTCATTATGTAATAATAATATTAATTGATACAGTAATAACAACACCAATGAATAAACGAATTCATTGGTCGCATTTGCATACGGAACTTCATAAACGGCATACGTGTTACGTAAACAATTATGCTGTATTGTTTTTTTCTCAGTATGGCAAATTTTTTAGATTTACATCTGAGGGACATTGGTTACCCAAAATATAGATGGGAATAAGCGTTTGGGCGCATGGAAATAAGTGTTTGGGCGCATGGGATTAGTTTATTGCCCGTTTTGATTTACCCATGGGTCAGAAAGAAAGAATTTTTTTTTCAAGGAAATTTCCGTTTACGTACTAATTGAAGTGTCGTACTTGCTCGTTGTTTCGCTGTGAGGATCTGATGAACGCATTTGACTTTTCAACGAATCATGCACACATTTCTGCGTATGCGTGGTCGTACAAGCGTTAAAAAAAATCAAAACTTTCTAAACTTTGACGCGAAAAAGTTCTACAAATCCAATTGACAATGTCTTTTAATTGATCATTTGTTCATTATAGTTCATTGTTCTCACTTTCATTCATCTCTCCTGGAAACCTTACAATTTTATGTGGGAAACGAACAAATGTTCTATTCAAAAAAATAAATTTCGATTGCAATTGAGGAATGCTGCATTCAGGCGAAGCTCTCAGCAAAGTGATGTTTTTAAAGTCGTACGTACACGTGCATATCCCACAAAATACAGTACAAACATCATAGCGAAACTAGGAACTTTGAGTGTTTCAGATTTTGGAGTTACCTGCTGGTAGCCAATTCAAGGAAATTAAATCATATGAAATTTATCAATAAGGGTACAGTATATGCAGAAACAATAAAAATAATAAAAATTTAATTGCTCTCGATTGCGAGGTCCGATAAATTGATCCGTCTCCGAAAATAATAAACATATGTCGATAGATAAGTCGAATGAAAATCTCCATAGCTAACATAACTGTTTGCTTGAATGGTATGGTCAATTGTAGATAACCGGGTTAGTACGGAGAAAAGTTAATTCGGTTGTTTTGAATTTATTTACATCTAGATCGATATCAATTTCGTATCTGAGTACAATAATATTTATGAAATTTACCTCGCAACTTAACGTAATACACAATATATCTCGTAAGAGAACGATAACCGATAAAACGATCAATCAAAACATTAATTTACGAATTGTCGATTTTGTGACACATGTAATTAGCTTATCCATAAAACAAATCATGAAACCAATTTCTACGTGACGAGCGTGAAAATTTGCGTAATATTAAAGGTAATCCTTGTTCTACTTCAAGCGTGATATTAGAACAAATTCATTTTAGAATCAGATATGCTTAAAGAATATGCTGGCCGATGAAAAACCACCTCAGGTTTAACAACAAAACATTATACGTTTGTTCTCTAATCATTGGGTGTGTAGATTTAGTTGTTTTCAATAATGGCTTCAATAATGACAACAATAATATCACTGTTTGACTTTTATAAATAAAAAAATAAAACTTGGCAATTGATTCATACAATTTAATAAAAATTTGTTCGAATAGAAAAAAAATGTATCATTCCAAAGACTCGTTTGAATCATCAATATTCGCATTACTGTATGTTGATTACATTGTTAGAAAAACCAAAACATTTTTATAAAAAATAATAATAATAAGCGGTGCGAATAAATTTTTAAACATCAAAAGTATTCTTCATAAATTATGCAGCAATCAATACGTCCACAATAAGAATTATATTGGCATCCGACAGCATACCGCATCTAATTTAATTATTAACATTTTTCAGGTGTTCTTTATGTTCTGACGATTTCGAAAACAGCGTTTTAATATTTGATTTGTTAAACACATAATAAATATACTGCATAAATTTTACTTTCAATCATAAATATAAAAAATCCAATTTACTTTATCCAACTTGTTCACAATTACATATATAATTTTCTAAAAAGTCTAAACAAATTTTTATTTTATATTTTTATTGGTAACTTGAGAAAAATTAAGATATTTATTAATAAAAATATACAGACAGATTACTTAATAGATATTTGCTTATGCTGTGTATTATTTTTATATTAAAAAATTAAATTATAATAAATAAATAATTGATTGATTTTAAATTGCTTTAATATATCAATCTATGAAAGAAAGATAAAAATGATTAAAAAAATGATTTGTTAATAAATTTTAAACTGATTGATTAATTTTTAAATAAATTGATTATATTTTTTTAAAATACTTTGCTTTTATATAATAATAAATATTTTTTTATTTCAATCTACATATAAACTTATATCTATAAATTTATAAAAAAAATTTTATTCAAAAAAACGTTTTATTTATATATAATTAATTTGTAATAAATATTAAAAAAATATAAAGATTTAAAAAATACTATTATATTTAAATATAATTGTTAAAATTTATTTGATATAAAAATTATATGTTGTATTTTATATTTATATTAATTATATTATTATATACAATATATAACTTTAAAAAAATTAAATCTTATATAAATATATTGTATATACAATATGAAATAAAAATAATTAAAAAAATCAAAACTCATATTTTTATTAATATTTTAAATAAAAATTTAAATATTTAAAATAAATATAAATATACAGTATATATATTATATTTGAAAATATAAAGAATAAAAATTAATAAAAGTTTTTTAATTATATTAAACAAGTTAAAATTTTGATTTTTTTATATATAACAAAAAAAACCAATAATATCAATTATTAAAATTATTTAATATATAAATTAATTAATTTTTTTTTTTTTTAAAAAAAGTAACTTACGTCTTGTTTATTAGATATTTATTTTTAAATACATTAAATTCATTTTCTACAAATTTTTCCCTATTATCTATATAATTAACTTGTTAAAGAAAAATCTTACCACATGGCTTATTGCCAAATATTTGTATATACTTAGCTAATTTGCCAAGGCTCTACTAGTTCTGAATAAAGTTGTTTTTAAATGAATATAGTGTGTTCCAATTGCATCCGTTTGTTCTGGTATAATTCATTATCTTGTTTGTTTCCTAGATTATAATTTCTTCTTTTCCATTAATTTCTTTTTATTTTTTCCCACCATGTTTCCAAATTCTTTTTCCTTTTGTATTGATATTATTATCTTCTTTTTATTTTGCAAAAGCTATACATCATATTTTTCATGTGTTTGCAAGGTATTTGAGAAGTTTGTTGAAGATTTGTTTTATACATTGTTGATATCCTTCTATGCAATGTTTTTTTATTATTGTAGTTGTACTTAATGGTAAGGCTCCTCTTGCCATGTATTGATATATTTCTTCAAACCATGTTTTTTGATCTGCTTTGAGTTATATTTTTTATTGAAATATATATTTTCAATATATGAGATATTACAATAGTACCAACACACAAATACTATGTCTAGACTACATTGCTAGCTAATCCCTACTGAACTTTTTAAGGCAGTATCACATATATCCAACAAGTATTATACATATATGTTTATAATTAACTTATCTATATATGACTAACTATATATCATCTAACTTAATGCTATGTATAATTACTATTTAAACCTGAATAGTTCATTACGCCATTCTGTTTTTGAAAAGATGTACAAATTCATCTTAATTTTTCCCAGAACAATTTTATTAAGAGTATTCTGGTTATCAGGTTATCAATTATAGTATCCTG